GGAATGATCATGCGCGCGCGAGGGCTTGTATTGCGCGCAGAGGACATGTCACGCGCGCGCGAGGGTTTGAAATGAGCTCTCGGGCTCCCGTTTCCTCGCGTGTAAATCTGTTTTCCTCTCGCGGAAGTGATTTACCGCGCGCGCCAGCATCAGTGGTGCGCTTGGTTATTAATGGCATAGGATTGCCGCCATAAATATGGCTAAATATTATTACATTGTAAATAAACTGCAGACCCATATATGATTGTCAAAAGAATTCCAGGTGCAGTTCCTTCTCAGCCAATTAGATTTCACGTAGCATTTTCATCGGACAGTCGTGGAAGTTTGATTGGTTGATAACCTTTGACAACGTTTAGTCCAGGTGCGAAAATAATTAATGTCTCAGGCAAAGATGATAATTGCGAGTGCACAGGACGCAGTTTAAGCGCGCACACACGCACACTTTGAGCGAGAGGAGAGATTCGCACTGGCGCTTCATATTAATGCACTTTCGTGCTACAACAGTGCGCTCTCAACATTTGTCAGTAAAATTACGCCATATTACATATTTCATGCTTTTGTTTTCTTCATTGTAAGACGGCAGAGAGTGACGCAACCGGAAACTGTAATGCGTGAGCTTGCGAAACGTTTCTCGTGCGTTCTAAAATTTTTCGTGAGCACGCGATGTTTTCTCGTGCCCACGCTAAACTTTTTCGTGAGCACGCGATGTTTTCTCGCGAGCACGCGAAAGTCTGCGTATTTTTTATTTTTGCAAAGGTCCCTTCAGGGGCTCCGTAGGATACTATGAAAAAGTTTTTTTTTTGCTGTGTATGAGTGTTATTTTTGTGTTTTCATTTAAATTTTAAAGTTCTAGTAATTTTGTTGTGTTTTTGTCAGTTTTAGTATTTTTTAAAAATATTTCTAAAAAGTTGAAGTTTAAAAGTTGAAGTTTTATATATTTTATTTTATTTCAGTTAATATTTATTTTATTTCAAGTAGTTTTTTTTGTAATTTTTTTTTCAGGGTTTTATTTATTTATTTATTTATTTTTTTTCATCATGAGGACCTTTAATAGCAAGTAAATGGTCTCAAAACAGGAAGAGTCACTTTTGTTTGTGTCTAAAAACATCAGAGGAAGACGGTCAATCACCGGTGAGTCCATTTGTTTTTCAGGGTTTTATATAATTTTTTCAAATAAAATGATAAACATCTTGCATATTCTTTGGGCAAAACTTTTTATCATGCTGATCTTTTTCCTGGCATTTCTCATGTATTCCCCAGGTGCCCAGGTGTATTTCACACAATCGCCAAGGACAGCTATACCTGAACCGATGATTTTCTCTATTTTGATCCTGGACGCTTCAATTTCTCTGGCAAACTCATGGACAGCCTGGCAGGGGTCCTCATATGTGTGGGGATCAATATAAAATCTGGCTTCTGGAAATGATACTAGAATAAACAGAATTAGCATTTGGTCACATATTGCAGCATGAAAGCAATTTTCAGTCACAGCCACAATCTCTGAAGGGCCCAGGCAGCAGCTACAGCAAGATACTGGAGCAAAAAAAGCAATAGTTTCCTGCCTAAAATTCATTAAAAGAGAAATCATCGGGTGAAAAGAGTGTCTCTCGTACCGTGGCCATTTTGGTAGTGCATTTTCTCCTCGTCTGAGTCCTGGAAAGCTTTGCTGTACCCACAACGTCTGTAACGCGAACCAGGAGAAGAAACAGAAATATTGTGTGTTTTTTTTTAAACAGGGCCTTGTCATATACAACCCACATGTTAATAATATTCAAACAAGTATGTAAAACTCAATTAACTCGATACTTCATTAACTTCAAGACATTTTTCCTTCAAATGTGGATAACAAACGTCCTCTGTGTCTTAATCCGATGCCTTATACAGTATATATCAAATGAACAGAAAAAGTGTCCGTTCATTGAAGGGATTATAAATTATAATCAAATTCATTATTTGACACAAACTTTAAGTTGCTGTCATCAAAAAGCAATCGAGCAACAGAGACCGCCCACTTTTCAGTGTTGTCACATTCATTTCTCTATAGATTCCAGAAAATTCTACAATAAAGAGTTCAAATCATGAAATCATGAGATCAATCATATTGAAAATTTGATTCAAAGCAAACAAGTATTTTAAATGACAAAAGAATCGATCGAATCAGAAACAGTGGTACAAAAAACTACCGAGTATAAGATTGCAAGTATTAAATATGATACATTTGAACTTGATAGCAAAATATTAAAACTTATGCAAACATTACTTCATTCACAATGCTTCATGGGAGTTTCATGATATTTTGCAGTGCTTTCTATTGTATATTATCACTTAACCAGTAGGTCTGTCTTAAAAGGTAGGTTTGTCCATGCGATTTCTGTATGGAGAAAATGAATGGGATTTTTATTACTGGAATTCCACTGTTGTGCTATATATGACTTAAGGATATTTCCACAGTGTTATTAGTCCAACATCAATCAAATTAAATTCCCACCGTGAGGTATGTGTTTCAGGGTGTACCTAGTCCCATGAACCTCTTTCATAGATAATTACAGTATGAATCATAGAGGTGTTTGAGTGGAAGGGAAGCTAGCATGAATATACTCTTAAATTAACAATTCACCCAAAAATGATAATTTTACTCACCCTCATAACCTGTATGACTTCTGAAGATATATAACAGCAAAATATTTCACCTAAAATCTGAACATCCACCCTGCTCTTCTTGGCACATTTATGAGACAAATAGAGATATCTGATTTGTGAATGGATCACTCTTTTGAGTCAAATCTTTTCAATGAATCATTTGCTCCAGTTCACAAAACCAGTCTGAATTATTCAAAAGTTGAGCTCATTCAGTCAGTGATTCAGTCAAAGAAAGAAAGAAAGTAAGAAAGAAAGAAAGTCATACATGTTTAGAAGATAGGAGGGTGAGTAAATGATGACAGAATGTATTTTTAGATGAACTATCCCTTTAACACATGTAACAGAATAAAGCAGGGAAAATGAATGCAGACAATTCAAAGTACTCCTCTTGCCGTTTTCTGCAGATGACAACGGCCAGAAATGTCACCAGTCCCGTTACCGAAGCCATGCAGATCCAGATAATCGTCATGTTGGTATTTCGCAGGGGAGCTGGTGGAGAAAAACCAAAAACCAAATATCAACAAACGCATCATTAAACACTCTAAATGATCACCGGTTTTCTCACTGCAGGAGACGTTCGGCCAGAAATGTGTGTTTGTGTACAATGAAAACAACACATGAAACACATGAAAACAATTAGTTTAAACTGAAGGTATAATGTGTACATTTGTATTTTTGGTGCTTGATATGCCAGTGGAGATGCCATAAGGACACTGATTTGAGACACTTTAAGATTAATGAGAGACACTAGGATGTTCTTAACACAAATATACCATAGAATTTGATTTTCTCTTTTTTTTAATCAAAATTATGACATTAAAGCTCACTTCTTCCAACATATTTTCATGCAAAAAATATATTAAAATATTTTTAATATATAAAATACATATTTTAATACATTTAAAAATGTACACTTAAAATATAATTTCAAATGTATAATCATATTTAAAATAATAAATTAATTTATACATAAACTAAAAATTAAAAAAATATATTAATCTAAAAATAATCATAGACCAATATAAATATGTACTAAAACAAATAAACATTTTAACTATATCCTGTTTAGGAAGAGATTAAATGTACCATTTCATTCAATGTTCTCTTTATTTTAGTGGAATTATGACTCGTATTATATTATAACTCACTCCTAACTCAATATTTCATGTTTTTATGTGTCATGTTCATGCATTAAAAATATTCAACATTTAATAATTTTAAAAAACATTTAAAAATATGAAACATTATTAAATTAATATATGAACACATACATTTATTATTAAAAATATATAAAAATTAAACTAAAAAATATACATAAACATAAATAAATATAAATATGTAAAGGAACATAAACATTACAACTATGTTCCTAGAAGGATTAGAGTAATCGAAAAATATATAGAAGGTTTCACAGCTGTGTCCTATGTTTTGTTCACACTTAAAGACATTCACAAAAATATTTATAAAATTAGTTAAGTCCAATTATTTTGAAAAATAATGGCACGTCTCTCCTCAACAATCTGCATTGTTTAAAGGGGTGATAGGATGCCCATTTTCCACAAGTTGATATGATTCTTTAAGGTCTTAATGAAAAGTCTGTAACATAGTTCTCTTTAGGTGAAGCTGGATCACGAATGATTCGCGCGAACAGAGACACATTTATGCAGAATCGGGGGGCGCATTCCCTTCAAAAACAAACATAATCCACTGCGTCTTCAGCGGCTCAGATGTCGGGAGTAAATGACGACTGCTATGTTCATTATTACATCCAACAACAGAAGACCTCAATCACTTAGGAGTCATTCTTGTCTACATCTGCTCCGGCGGTGAAACAATGGCGGACTGAACCACTGGGTGGATTTTTATCATTTTAGGGAGGTTGTGTACACACACTGCCAACACACATTTCAGTTCAAACAACTTGTAAAAGTTCATGTAGCTTTATATGACCCCTTTAAGTATAATTCATGTCCGTAGCACTGGTAATAATTGAACACTCACTTGCTTTGCCGGTCTGTATCTCCACTGACTGGCTGAATCGCCCACAGCCAGCCGAGGTTCTGGCCCGAATCTGGAAGATGTAGCTCGTGCCGGGCTTCAGACCTGAAACTTTAGCGCTGGTGTTCTTTGACTTCAGTGTAGCATAACTTTGCTGCTCGTTGTCCTGTGAAAACGGCTAAATAAGACAATGAGAGGGTATATTCAAATAAAGAGTCTATTTAAGGTCATTTACGTAAATACAATCCATAAATATAGACAGTAGTGGACAATTCACACCAGGACCTGACAAAATCATGTTTTGAGAGCCAGAATGGAGGATTGGACCGATTAAACTGAAGTGCTCACTAATCTGTTAGCATTCCCCGCTTCACCTCACTGCGTCCGTGAACTCTGTCCCCTCCGAAGCATTTCGCTTTGTTAAAAAGCCTTTGATGCTCCTCTGTCCCCTGAGGAGACCGCCAGCGCCGCATATCCATCAAAAACCACCGCGTGGTCTTTGTTAAGCACCATTCCCCAGGAATCAGCACACGGGCAGCAGCTCGGCAAACAGGGATTGCACGTAAATCATATTTACATAGCGGCATTGTTGACTAGGCACTGTATACTAATTCTCTGTCACAGCTGAGATCTCTTTTGCGCCATTAGGCAGCAAAGCTCCCAGCTCATGCGACAATTAAGTTCCCTCCAGTGTTTGGCAGGGCTCGCTGTGTTTGCCTTCAATGTCACGTTAAATAATCTCGCCAAAACAGTCTGAGAGTGCTATTGGCTGGTAATTTCCTTTCAATTAGCCTGAGCTGCCAATAAAGCAAATGGTTAAACTGAGATATTTGACTCCAGGCTAGTCTATAAAATGTGACCCTTCATTAAGCGGGACACGCCGTCAAGCTATTCAGTGATGAGACCTTCTCGGTTAATTAATAAATATCACTCCTTTAGGACCTGGAGTGTATTCACTCTGATGAAGAAATTACCTTTTCATAATATTTAATGTCATATTCTAATATGACTCCATTGGGCTGCGCTGGTTCGTGCCAGAAAAGAGTGACGCTGTTCTGACTGGCGTTTTCTTGTCGGATGGCCATCACTTGAGACGGAGCTGTGAAAATAAAGACATGAGGGTTACTTCAGTAAGACAGCAGATTCATTCTACAGCTATTTTAATTATGTTATATATGAGGAACAATGAAATGAAACATTTTATTTCTGATATAAAATACAGATACTACCACCTTTAGATGGTTTCTAGCTGTTCAGAACTGGTTGTTTATGCTTATTAGCTGGTTGAAGCTAGTTTAGGTGGTTGATTAACAGGTACACTCACTAGCTGGTGGAGTCAAGATTAACCTGTATAGGGTTAGCAGACCACCTTCAGATGATCAGCTAGACTAGACAGCTGATGGCACAGAGGTCAACCTTGGTTAGGGATGGTGCCTAAACTGGTACCTGAACTAAACTTTAAAACTGGCCATTTATAGTTATTAGGTGGTTCAAACTAGTTTAGGTGGTTAATCAGCTAGACTAGCTTTCTAATTGAGTCATCCTGGCTAGGATTGGCAGACAACCTTGACTAAGCTGTTAAAATCTGGTTATTCATACCAGCTTTAGATGGTTTCTAGCTGTTTTTAGATTATTTCAAAACTGGTTATTTTTGGTTATTAGCTGGTTCAAACTTGTTTAGGTGAATGATCAGCTAGACTAGCTTACTGATGGAGCAGAGGTCAACCTGGTTTGGGCTGGTGCCTAAACTGGTACCTAAACTAAAGTGTTTAAAACTGGTCATTTATAGTCATTAGGCGGTTCAAACTAGTTTAGGTGGTTGATTAGCTAGACTAGCTTGCTGATGGAGCATACGTCAACCTGGTTAGGGCTGGTAGATCACATTGTTTAAACTGTTTAAAACTGGGCATTTACTATCACTATAGCTATTTCAAACTAGTTTAGGTGTTTGAACAGGTAGACTACTAGCTGGTGGGGCTGAGTTCAATCTGGTTAGGCCTGACAAACCACCTTGAATAAGCTGTTTAAAATTGACTATTTATTGTCATTAGCTGGTTTAAATTAGTTTAGGTGGTCGATCAGCTAGACTAGCTAGATGAAAGAGCAGAGGACAACCAGGTTAGGGGCTGGTAGACAACCTTGACTAAGCTGTTCAAAACGGAACATTTATAGTCATTAGCTGGTTCAAACTAGTTAAGGTGATCGATCAGCTACAGGATGAAGCAGAGGTCAACCTGGTTAGGGCTGGTAGACAACCTTGACTAAGCTGTTCAAAACTGGTTATTCATGATCTTTGGCTAGCTCAAACTAGTCTAGGTGCTTGATCAGTTAGATTAATAGCTGGTTTAGTTGAGGTCAACCTGATTAGGACTGGTAGACCACCTTGATTAAGCTGTTCAAAACTCGTCATTTATGGTCATTACCTAGTTCAAGCTAATTAAGCTGGTTCATCAGTTAGATTACTAGCTGGTTTGGCTGAGATCAACCTGGTTAGACTACATTGTTTAATTTGTTTAAAACTGGTCAATTATGGTCAATAGTAGGTTCAAATTACTTTAGGTGGTTAATAAGTCAGATTAATAGCTGGTGGGGCCTATTTCAACCTTGTTAGAGGCTGAGGTCGACCAAGTTTCAAAACGCATCATGGACAAGTTAACTAGCTTTTGACTAGGCTAGTAGGCTAGAGCCTAGTAGATTAGACTAGACCTTAGTCTAGTAAGACCTTGATTTTAAGCTGCAGTGTTTTAGGAATTATGTAAATAATAAATGCAATCAAACTTTAATGACCCATTAGTGTCTCCTACCTGCCTGGTTTGTGGTGATATTGACCGTCACAGACTGTGGGGGCTCGTTGCTCAAGTGCGTGACTCCATTTAGAGCAACAATACGGAAGGTGTAGTTACTGTGAGCGGCGAGATTCAGCACCGTCACCCATGCTTCTGTAAGTCCCATCTGCTGAGGGATAAAGCGCACCAGGGCTGCTCCTGTCCGGGCCACCATGACCCCATTCACCCCAGGTCCTCCTCCTCCAACTGTCCCACTAACAGCTCCATTGGTGTCTGCAGCTCCTCCATTGCCATTCCCCACCCCGTTACCCCCTCTGGCACCCACCCGACAGTCCTCACACTGTGTCCCATCTTTGTCGCACTTCCGGCAAAGGACGTCATAGATGACATCACTGCGTCCTCCTGTGTCCAAAGGTGAACCCCACTCCAGACTGACCGAGGTGCCGTTCACAGATGAGATTATGTTTACTGGAGCTGACGGAGGTCCTGCGGGGAGGGTGAAGTTAGACAGTTCTTAATTATAGGTTAATTAGTGAGGTTGAGGGAATTGGTGGTTATCAGGCTAGCTGATCAAAAGAGAATGATTGAATTTGCACTTCAGTAACCACACGACCCCAGTTCAACAAGTAATCTTGTCTTGAGATTTTTCCACTCATTAAAAGTAAAAAAAAGTTATAGTTTTTGTCCCAGAAAGTGTTGGGAGACTTAAAGCACACTTAAAATACTATTATAATTAAATGAATTTAAAAATATTTAAATTTGTTTTACAGATTGCACAAACACACATTTTTTTAAGCAAAGTCTAAACCTAAAATAAAAAACTTTTTTTTTATATTTTTTTTTAATCAATTTTATTTATCCAAAATTATTTATATTATAAGACATGTATATAATGCATAAAATAAAAATAAATGAAATAAATAAAATAATAAAATTTACATATTTATTGCGATGATCTTTGTTAAATCTACCAAAAATCAACAAAAAATCATCCAGCTGATTAAAAGAGTAAAACTTAAAAAATTATAAAGTAAAGTGAAGTTGGTGAAGAGAAAAGATCCTGCAGCATTTGAAATGTTTTACATATTACATATGTTATGCATTGACATTCATATATGTGTTTTCAAATACTTTTCTGGGCCACTGTATCTAAAAATGAAATCAAAGTTAGAAGATTTCTTGGTTTGATGATTTGCAAACATGAAGACTCACTTGTGCAGGGAGAAGCAGGTGGATCTGTAGAGGAACGATAGAAGTTGGCATCACAGGGGCAGGTTAGAGCTGCTCGCGTCTCAGAGTGACTGTGGAGGGGACATTTCCCACAGAGCTGATCTCCTGCCACTGGCTTGTAGAAGCCCACCTCACATGCTAACAGGAAACACAGAAACAGAGTTTAACTCAAAACAATCCACAATCCACTGCTTCTTTGCTGCTTAGATGTTCATAAAACTTGTTTTTATTTCAACCAAATGAATGTACTATATTTTAGTTTGATAATGTTTTTTATTTAATATTTTGTATTTTTAGGGGATTTTATGTTACTAGAATATTTTTATGGAATAATTAAGATCCACTTATTACCTGTTAACCACTTTTTGTGCATAGACCTGAAAATGAAATATCCAACTTAAACGGTCATAAATCTTTAATGCTCTGGAGCACAGACTTGAGTATACATCAAAGCCATAAATCTAAACAAGCTGTGTTTCAAATTTGCAGTTGATATTTAAAAAAATTAGCTTTCAGTAAGATTTTGTTTGGGGCGCAGTACCAAACGTTTCTACTAGATGAAATTCGCTTCCCATTAATTTCCATTTTTTGACTGCGAACAACAATTTTTTTTTTTTTCAGGACCATTTATCCTTTTTGAATCATGTCCATAATATATATATATATATATATATATATATATAAATTTTCTCACATAGCACATGCCAAAACCTGGATCTTTTTTGACAGAAGCTTTTAAATCCAAGGAACTTTTTAGGAAAGGTTCTTAATGTTCTTTAGACTATTAAAATGTTTTTACACTAACCTTTATTCCTTTATTTTTAAGAGTGTATATCCTCTCTCATTGAATATCCTGTTTAACTGAGAAATACATCACATTATGGAAGTAAAAAGGGTTGCAAATGGCATTTTTATTAACATTATTTTTAACAAAATGAAGTGCAACAAGTTGTGAACATGCAGCGCAACACTGTCACTCTCAAGTGTAGCAGTTCAGAGTTTCCAAAATGAGGACAAGTAAGGACAACAAGTACATGGGTGAGAGATCTGAGGGAAGAATTGAGAATTAACATAGAGCGATAGCAAGTTTTTTATCTCCACTGACAGAAACCCCAGGGAGTCCAAAAAGTATTCCTTCTTGCAGTATTTATCCTTGTCTGTTTTCTCTTTTGGCTTGATCCGATTAATCCTTCCCTCCCTTGATGTTTTTTTGAAAAGCTCCTGAGTTGAAAAGCAGGTCACGATAAATATTGCGGCCGTACGCTCATGGAGTACAGTGACGTCTACACACTTTGAAGATTTTGACAGACTACCTCTGGCAACACAATCAGAAGCACACATTCAACATACACACACCGACAGACAGACGTGAGTTAATCATGATGAACTTTGGTGACCTTTTCCATTTGGGCTTTTAAGACTCTTTCTGCTTAGTAAGTCTCTTTTCAAAGCAGATAAGGGTTAAAAAAGCACGAGGGGTGAGAAGAGACTCCGCTGCTCTTTGTCCGGCGGTGTTTACATACACTACATTAGGGCTGCGGCGTTCTACTGGGGTTTTTTGCACATTGGCACACTGTTTGGTTTGTCAGCACCTGTCAGAGCGCCTCTCTCCTTGCATCCACATTTGCATTACTATGAATTTTAATGAATATTTACAGCCATTGTATGCTGACCTTGATTTTTACTCTTTGTGTAGATGGTTAAATAAATATGGTTGAAAAGAATAACCACATTGGTGTTTTTCATGACCAGACTATACAAACTCTTGTAGGAGAACAAGGTGATTCAAGCATCAGAATTAAATGTTTTTATTTACTGTAGTGTAACTTCATATGCTCAACTAAATGATCATGAATGGGCGTCTTTCCACAGTAAGTGTCGCAAACCAGGTTGGAGTAATTACACATTTCATAAAGAAACATTCAACATGAAATTATCATAAAATTTATAGAGAACTATTAAAATTAAAATTAAGTAAAACAAAAAATACTTACAAATATAATATAATATAATATAATATAATATAATATAATATAATATAATATAATATAATATAATATAATATAATATAATATAATATAATATAATATAATATAATATAATATAATATAATATAATATAATATAATATAATATAAAATGAAAATTCTGTCATCATATACTCACCCTCATCTTTTTCAAACTTTATTCTGAGTAACACGACAGCAGTGACATGAGGGTGAGTGAATAATGGATCTTAATTTAGGCAAACTATTTCTTTAAGAGACCAAGAGAGGATCCAGGAATATTCACAAAAACACACACGGAAACACTCTTCATGCTCTCAAACACCCTCAGAACTCTTATGGGAGCCAAACAACAGCTGCTAATGAGCTGGGAGGATTGTCTGAGTGATGAATGATTCTGTCAGTTAAATCATAGCTGGAAATGGGGCACTCTATCACAGGTCCTCCAAACACACGTGCTGTAAACGTCCCTCTCTCCGCTGAAGGGGTTACTGATTGCTCAGGGTCCAGACGCATCCAGCACACTCATGTTAGTGTGTCATTCGCTTGGTACTCGCTGTCCTGCTTTAGATTTGGACCAGCCACACGTACAGCACAGCGGTGTACCATTTTAAAGATGTATGAAGGCCTGTACTGTTACTGTAATGATTGTTTCCTGTGAGACTCATAAAACAGATGTTCTCATTCAGCCTCTAATATGCAACGCAAACATTTCTGCTTTGTTGTTTTAACATTACATAATGGCTAAATCCCTAAAAGGCCTAACAAAAGTGCATTGTTATTAAGTCCAATAAGTCTAATTATAATTTCAGTCAAAGTTTCTTGCACCAAAAACAGTCATGTTCTTTTTGACCCGGTTAAACAGACTGTTTTTGCTACTGTACCTTTAAAACTTCTTTTTTAAAAGATCTAAATCACCTCTGTTGTTTGGATAACCAATCACAACTCTAGTAGTAGTTGATGAATACGCATAAATATTTAAAAGTGGGTGGCCTTATGTTAATGAGCTCATGAATAATGTCAACAGTGACCACTTATTTTTTTTCAAGTGCTCTGGAAGTATTTTTTCCGTTCATTTTCTCCTTAGACCTTTCATAAAGGGAGCATTTATAGTATTTGCAATTTTTAACATTTTTATTAAAAAGAAATTCAAGTAATTGAAATTTGGGGAAAAAACAAGACACATCCAAAGAAACATTATGGAACTGATTAAAAAAGTGGCATATTAAATTTAACGACTATAGGTCTGTAAACATTGATTATAATTAGAAATGTCTTTCCTCTCATTCCCTTCCTAAAATCGGCACTTAACTAAGCTGCATCTATTTGATCAAAAATACTGTAATATTCTGAAATATTATTATAATTTACAATAACGATAATGATGCAATGATGCAATGCTGAATTTTCAGCATCATTACTCCAGTCTTCAGTATCACCTTCAGAAATCATTCTGATATGCTGACTTGCTGCTCAATAAACATTTATTATTATTATTATCAATGATGAAAACATCTGTGCTGCTTCATATTTTTGTAAAAACAGTGATGCTTTTTTTCAGAATTCTGTGATGAACAGAAAGTTCAAAAGAACATTTATTTGAAATATAACTTTTTTTTCTTTACTGTCACTTTTAATGCATCCCTGCTGGATAAAAGTATTAATTTCTTCCCCAAAAAAAAACATTTCAAAGAATACATTTAATTCATTACATCTCACACCTAAGGCAAGAAATGCTCCTCTGAGGCACATCAGCTCATGTTCATGTCAAGACTGAAATCCTTGAGCTGCTTGAATGTTAGCATTAAAAATCTATTCTCTCTGGAGCTTTTACCATGAAGCTGATTTCTGAAACATCTGTTTTTGCAGCCTTTCTCTTCTGGATGGACTGAGGAGGAGGAAGCTTTGCATTGTGATGCACTTTGCCTTTTAATTATCAAAAGGCAAATATTTTTCACAGGTTGTGTACAGTACCTGCTGTATTATTTCTCTCAACTCATAAAGCAAAAACTTCTGCATTTTTTTTTTCATGACAGCACTTTTAGGGGTGACATTAATCAAGGTTAGTGACATTTGGAGCCGGCCAATCCATCCCCAGGCAAAAATCCCAGCAGCACGATAAGACCTAATGCTGACTGGCCCTCAAACCACACGGGAACGAGTCTCAAGATCGAACAACCAGAGGGTAAAAATAAATAAAGAAATAAATAAGGACGGATAAGAAGGGGAGAAGATGAATTGCTCGCAAACGTTCGGGCCTTCAAGCTTCAGCTCTGACTATCAAAATGCCAATTCATGCATGAAATTCAAGCAGAACCTAGAGTGCAATAACAGCGAACACAGACATGACCTTTTGACAGGTCTTTGATTTCAAACAGCGTGGATCATATTTTGCATTACAATACAAGGATTTACCTGCATATTAGACTTACTTTTCAGTCATAATAACGTCTGCGGTTTTGCTAAATGTCTCCTCTGTAGATTTAAAGGAACAGTGCACCCAAAAAATAATAATAAAATTGCTATCCATTTACTCACCCTTGTGTCATTCCGACCAAATATTGTTTACTCTTCTGTGAAACAAAATTAGATGTTAGACAGAATGTCAGAGTTGATGTTTTTTTGTTTTGTTTTTTTGTTTTTTTCAAATAACAAAAGAAAATAGTGATTTATACAATGAAGTCAAAACACAGTTAATATGACTTGATTGAATATGAATAGAAACAACTGTTAGTAAATTAAAAATGAATAGAAACGAAATGAAAAATGAAAAAATGAATAGAAACAACTGTTAGAAAATGAGTTAAATGTGAAATATTGAAGCAGAAAGAGTGAAATAGTATTTTCTTGTAAAAAAAACAAAACAATGTACTCCAATAATCTTTGTTTTATTTATAACTTATAGTTAGTTAACTTAGTTCATGTTAAAATGCTGTAATCCAAATAGATCTAAATTTTATATGCAATTCTAACACATCTTAAATTGATGTGTATATGTAAGTGTATATAATGTAAGGAAATAATACAGGGTTAGGGTGATATAGGGCTAAATGAGGACAAAACTTTCATTGAACTATTTCTTTAATTGATCCCAAGGCTATTAGAAGAAGTGCATGAGTTATAAAGCCCACAA